ATAAATCGATAAAGTACTTAATTTAATTATATCTATTAAAACTATTAAATAGCTCTTCTAAAAAACTTTTAATAAATCTTTAAATTATTTAAATATATTAGAGTTATCTAGCTATATAATATTATATTATATAATTTTATTATAATTATCTTTATTATTTTTAAATAAAATCTAATATAAAAATATAATAAACGCTTATTTTAAATTATATATAATTATTATATTAGCTAATAATATAAATTACTTCTATATCTATTATTACGATATTTACTTACTTTTTATTACTTATAGAAAAATCGCGATAAATTTAAAACTACTTACGCTAATAAATATTTAAATTAATATTATAGATTTAAAAAAAATTAAGAATAAGATTATATTCTTATATATTTATAGTATACGCCTTTAAGATTTACTCTTACTTTTTTTCTTAACTATTCGCGAGATTAAAGATTAGATTATATTTTTTATATAAAAATATTTAATAATTATTAATAGTATATATTATTATTAACGCGTATTTAGATTTAAAAATCTATATCTTTTTAATAAAAGATTATAATATAAAGATTTTCTCGCTATCGATATCTATTAAGATAATTATTTTATACTTTTTATTTAATATAATAATTTTATCTCTTAATAATAGAGAGCGAGATTATCGCTTAATTAATAGCGTATTTAATACTATAGCGATAAATATTAAACTTTATTTTTTCTCTTATTTAATTTATAATTATATACTTTATTATTTATAATATAATTTAAATATTTAAAAGAATTCTTATAATATCTTAGCTACTTATAATTATAATATTATATTTTAATAAGAAACGTCTTAGACTTAATATAAGAGTTATTATCTTTAAATTTAATTCGTTTAAACTTTTAATCTTATAATATTAATAAAAATAAACTCTTCTTTTAATCTTATTAACTTTTTATATATTATTTCTTAGACTTAGTATACTATTAATTATTACTTCTTTAATTACTTATCTTATTATTAAAGCGAGTCTTATCTAAAATAAAGAGCTCTTTTATTTTTTATAGTCTTTACTTTATATTTTAATATTATTATAATAATATAATATAGATAATAAATTAAATAGCCTCCTTTATAGCTTTTAAAGAAATTTTCTCTATTACTCTATCTTATAAATCTTTTATATATTTTAGATCGATTATATAGCGATCTTACTATAACTAGAGTATAATAAAATAGTTATTAAAGCTAACTATTAATTATATATCTCTTATTATTATTTTAATTAACTAGTATTCTATATTATAAAACTTTTATTATAAACTTAATTTAAATACTATCTCTTATATTTCTTCTAGATAAATTCTTTAATTAGTATATATAAAAGAATAAGGTAGGGCTGAGCTTGAAAACCTTGAATTTATATGTGTAGCCAATCATCAATTCGACAGGTCTACGCTTTTTGGTTAGACACCACGGGTAAATAAATTAGCGTCCGCAACCATCAAAATCTCGCCTTCCCGCGCCTCCCTTATCAAAAAAATAGGTGTACATTATTAACACATAGAATAACTTTTTTGTTTTCTATTAAAATTTTGAGATTTTTTTTTTAAATTTTGAAGCGCTGTTTGTGCTTTCCGAATTTTTAAGAATTTTGAAATTTAGTCTTATAATTATTAAAGCGCAAGGAATTCAAATATCGCTCACCAAAGTTCGCTCACCAAAGATCGCGGACAGCCGGACAGCCCTGATCAAAAAACAGGTACACATTATTTGATTTTAGAATAACTTTTTTGTTTTCTATTAAAATTTTGAGATTTTTTTTCTAAAATTATAGAACGAAATGTGGGCTTTTAGATAAAAAAAGAATTACTAAATTTAGTCTTATGGATGTTTAAAGGTAACGAATTTTTAAAGTGTTGTCGCTTATAAAGTTCGCTCATCAATATTTACTCGACAGCCCTGATTAAAAAAAAATTAATGAATTTAATTCATAGCCTTTACTCGTATCGTATAATATTATATTTCTAATATTTCTCTAGATTTATTTCTTAGTATTTACTAAGAGAATAGAAGATTAGCGAGTCTTTTCTTTATTTATATAAAAATCGATATAAAATATTAAGGCGATAAAATTATCGTAATTTTATAGAAATATAATTATTAAATTATAGTTATTAAGATACTACGTATTAGATATCTTAATAATACTTATCTTCTTATAGCTCGAATTATAATAATAATTATCGCTATACTTATAACGATATTCTTATATATTCTATATTTTAATTAGCTTAAATTTTTTGATAATTAATTACTTCTTAATATTAAGTTTTAGAAGTTAATAGCGTTAAACTTAAATTAAATCTATAAGATAAGAGTTTTTATTTATAAATAAAGAGTTATTAGATATAACGCTTTAATAATTATTATTTTTATTAATAATATTATTAGAATTTCTATTAATATTAGAATTAATATTATAATTACTTAATTATATAATAGATATATTTTAATAAAAATTATTTATTAAATTAAAAATATCGCTAATAGATTATAATAAAACGTTTTTATTTTATAAATTAATAGAATTAACTCGCGAGTTATATATTATAATTAAATTAAATAACTTTATATAAATAAAGTTATTAAAACTATAAGATAATAAGATCTCTTTTAATAAAATTATATAGTAGCTATATAATTATAAGATCTAAATATATAATTAATAGAATAAATAGATTAATTACTAGATAAACTAATAATTAAAAAAAAAAGAAGAAAAAAGAGAACTCGTAAATATTTAAGACTTTATTAAGTATATTAAATACTCGCTTTAGCTACGTAGTTTATAGTCTAATAAGCGATATAAGCGAGTCTATTAATTCGCTTCGAGTACTTTTACTCTTATAATTAAATAAGTTATCGAGAATAAAATAAATTAATATTTATATTTATTAAAAAGTAGATATACGTTATTAATATATAAAATAACTTTTTTAATTTCTATTAAAATTTTAATTTTTTTCTTAAATTATAGAACGAAATATAAGCTTTTAAATAAAAAAAGAATTTTTAGATTTAGTCTTATAATTAATTATTAAAGCGTAAGAAATTTAAATATCGCTTATTAAAGTTCGCTCGATAGTCGAATAGCCTTAATTAAAAAATAGATATATATTATTTAATTTTAGAATAACTTTTTTATTTTCTATTAAAAATTTTTAACTTTTTTTTTAAATTATAAAACGAAATATAAGCTTTTGAAGAGAAAAAAATTCTTAAATTTAGTCTTATAATTATTAAAGCGTAAGAAATTTAAATATCGCTTATTAAAGTTCGCTTATTAAAGATCGCTTACTCTAATTAAAAAAAAAATTATAAATTTAATTTATAAATCTTTACTCGTAAAATTATAAATAGATAGAATTAATTTAGATATAAATTAATCTTATATAATTATATAGTGAAATTATTCGTTATAGTTGAAATTACTTATGAAATATCTCGTTTAGATGCGAAACGCGAAATTCGTTATTTATTTTAATCGATTCTAGTACGATAACCTAGATTAATAGAGAGATTAATTACCTATTAGAAAGGAGGCTTATAAGTTCTAAGCGAGAGAATCTTAAATTACTTAGTTTACGTACGCTTAACGTACGCTTAACGAAGTCTTAGTAAATAAGCTCAAGCAAGCGATCCCCCCGAGTTTTCTTTACTTTCTTTAGAATTAGTTTTACTATTAAATCTATATACGAATATATATATCTTTCTAATTTCATATTATTATATAACTCTAAGACTTCGATCTAATATCGAGTTTAATAATATCGAAATTTCATTTTTCATTTTTTCATTTTTCAATTTTTTAAATTTTAATTTTCGCTTCTTTCTTATAATTATATTAATTTCTAAAGAGTATAAATTATAATACGTATTCTATAATATAATTTAGAAATAAATAATATAAACTATTTTATTATTAATAAAGAAATATTTAGTTAAAGATTTTTATTAGTATATATAAAAGAATAAGATAGAATTAAGCTTAAAAATCTTAAATTTATATATATAGTTAATTATAAATTCGAGATTATTACGTCTTTTAACTAGACTATCTAAGTTAGCTCGCTAGCCCTTTCGAGCTCTCTTTATTCGAGTATACTTTTAATATACTTTTAGTTCTATAACTAACGAGCTTACGAAGATATCTTCTATTTTATATTTATATCTTCTTTTTATTATAATTCGATAGTCTTATTATTCTAATTTTATCTTACTTATACTGTATCGCATTTACTAGTTCTCCTCTTATTAAAAATTTAGATATATATTATTTAAATTTAAGATAACTTTTTTATTTTCTACTAAAATTTTAGATTTTTTTTTAAATTATAAGACGTAGTTTACGCGTCTTAAAAATTTAAGAATTTAAAAATTTAATCTTTTAACTATTATAAGACAAGGACCTTAATTATCGCTTATTAAAGTTCGCTTATTAAAGATCGCTTATTAAATTTACTCGATAGTCTTAATTAAAAAAAATAGTTATAAATTTAATTTATAGACCTTTACTCGTAATATTTATAAAAAGTTAGCGAAAATATTAACTCTAACTCTACTCTTAAAAATACTTTTAAGTATATCGTCTAGATAATTCTTTACTCGTAGTATCCAGAAGTGAGTAACCTCGCTTAATAGCGCCGGGAGAGTTGACCAATCAAACTACTTAGTTCACCGCGAAAATCGTCCGGCTTACAGCTTGGCTTGGCACGTGGTCCCCTGACCCGTATTCTCCGACATCGTACATTACTTGCTTATATAGGACTAAAAGTACACCTAAAGGTACTGACTGCTATTGATCAAGACTGCCTCCAGAAAACAATAATGGGTATTGCACAATGTCACTCACTCGCTAATCACGCTCAGAACGTAGCAATACAATCCACTCCCTTCTGCATCCTGCCTAATGCGTCACAAAACCATATCAGTCTTCTGCCGAGCCATCATCTCAGAGCTCGATCAAGTCCACCTCTGAGAAGTCAGGCGGACTCTTTCTGTATACGACCCTCGCACTGCTGTCCAAGCCCGTAAACTTGTTGCTAATCCAGATGTACTTCGACAACTTCTGCGTCCGATAAATTTCATCATCACTCACTCCTAGATCGTCTCTAGGGATCCAAATCACAGGCCTTCTGGCTCTTAACGCCTCATGCTGGAAGGCTCGCTGCACGAGCTTGTCTCGCTCGTCCGGCGTCAGATCCTCGATTTCATCATTGATCCCCGCGAACAGAGCTTCTCCGATCGCGTTCGTTCCACTGCGTTGAGCCTCAAGATCTGGTGATTTACGCGCAGGATGGTGCTGGCGATGATATTGCCGGGGCGAGGCAACCTGTCCGTTCTGTCCGGGAGAATAGGGCGTCTGCTTCCGGGAACGGTCCGCCCAGGACGATGCCTTGAGAGGAATGAGATTTCCCACCGCTTCCGGTACTAGCAGCCCCAGAGTTCTTGGATCCAGTCTACCACGCTCGTTGGGGGCTTCGATGTTCTGCATTTCAATACTCTCACACGCCCTATTATCGTCTGCAGAAAGACGTTCGCGATCATTGAGGACATCGTTGATGTCGTCACCCTCTTGCTCGTTCTCATCCAGCTTCCAACGCTTTTCTTGTGCTCGTGCGAATTCCTCGTCGCGCATCACAGCCTCGTCTTCCAGAGTGATGGGCAAGTACCTCAGCAATGGTCCAAATGCACCGTTGAGGAGCCATTGATAGAGAATGGTAAGAATAAGAACAACAATCATGATGATACCTTGGACCTTGCAGGGTGTGCCAATTGCTTTGCCATCGGGTGCTGCATCCCTAACGAGGAAGAATAGGCCGATTAGACAAAGCTCCATTAGATACAACCCTGTGAAGAGCTGATTGATGGCCGTGGGATAGAGCAAGCCACCTGTGTCGAAGCGGAACTTTGTCACATAGAGCGTGTTGTACCTATAGACTAGCCAAAATAAAGCGAAGGTGATGATGTTGAAAACCATGATCAGTGGAGATATAATGGAGTACACCAAACCTGAAAAATATCAGCTGATTCAATGATTGCGAGTATGATAGCGTTCTCCTTATTGACTCACCAATGCATGCCAAATTGGTGTAAACTGGGAAGAAAGTTCCCCACTGCATGTTGGGCAGATTTGTTTGTCTGTGCCATTTCTGCCTGGCGGTATTGTCGAGTAGCGGCGCGAGGAGAAACCACTCAATCAAGCCCACGATTTGGACGAGATCTCCGGCGCTAACCGATAATGCTTGCAACAGCAAGTATGAGAAGAAGTAATTCGAAGCTTTGGGCAGGTTCTGCGCCAAGAGTTCTGGTACGCTTTGAGGGTGTCGTGTGATTTCTGATATAATCGAGGTGATCCCAGACGATATTGAAATCACGAGGAATACCTGCACGAATAGAAACGCAAAGTAAAATTTCTGCACGCTCAACTCTACTGCCATGCCAGTATAATCGCCCTGAACCTTAGCAAGAAATCGTAGAATGATCGGGAGTAGAACCAAGAGGAGTGCCAGGATGACCTGAGGTAAGACACCTTGGATGATGGAAAATACCTCTCTCGGCGCAGGGGCAAGCCAATGCAACCATTTCACTGTGCCCGTGAGCGCCTTGATTTGCGACAAGATAGCAGTGAATGAGACCGGGAAGGCCCACCCGATTACCAGTCCGACAATTGTGACAAGGACAACGGCGGGGCGAACATAGGACTCCCACCATCTCATTGACATGTTGTCCCAAATGACATCGTCTGGCGAAATTTCCACAACTCTTGGAGCCATTTGGCTTGGTGTATGATGGCTGACAGCTTGACAGGCCATGTGTGCAGCTACTTGATGGTTAAATTGTACGAATGCAGAGTTCATAAGTGGGAACTTCTCGGGGTTTTTTTGATCTTGTTCGATCTCGGCATTGAGTCGAGCGACCTCCTTACGGCAGTAATCGATCGTGTCAACTTTTTGTCCTAATAGAGGCAAGGAGATCATCCATTGCGAACCAAAGATGGGAAGTCTCATAGATTCACGATCTTTCTCCTTCAGATATCGCTTCCACACAGGTTCACCTTCATTGGTATTATAGCCTTCCTGGTAGGCGATGGGATAGTCGACGGCTTTTTTCTCACTCGCTTTGTCATTTGGCGACTCCTTACGGGACTTCTTTGAGTGGTCTTTCGCCCCTTTTAAGCCTGGGTTCGATCCTGGACCATTGACAGTGGGTTGGGCATTGCACCCCGGGGTCATTGGACTTGGGCGGCTCAACGGGAATTCGTCTTCCTCCCGACCGTGAGGAGTAGGACTTGGAATACCGTACGGTACATTCTTCTTGCGATTCCAGAGATAGAACTTTGACTGGTACTGTTCTTCGGCCTCTCCAAGTCGCTCAGGATTGCGCAATATATCTGTATAGCCCGAGTCCCGCTTGGTCCTGTGATCAATTGGTGCGCCTTCGATGCCCAGGCCTTCACCATAACGACTCGACCTCGACCGTGAATATGCGGGCCCATCTCGTGATACGCTCTCCCTAATTGTACTATCATTTGATGGCTCGCTAGAGCTCTGCTGGTGGTCTCTTCCTAGGCTGGCGTCACGGTTCTTGTATGGATAGTCAGAATCTGGTGAGATCGACCGTGACCGAGTACCGTCTAAGCCGGAGCTGGCTTTTTCCACATGAGATTTGCTCCGTGGAGCTGCTGGCTCAGGAGTCGCCGGAATGGATCCTCCTATTGTGTTTAACCGCTCATCAATACCCTTGCCAACTGTCTTAAAGCCTCCGAAAACAGTCTTCCCCAGGTTGCCAATACCATGCCCAACAGCTTCCATTCCTTGACTCAGAGCAGGGATTGGCACTAGAGGTTTCTTTCGGTCTCGAGATTGCTCCCTTGACGGCTCATTGGAAGACTCCGCCAGCGCTTCGTCTATCGTATGCCGGACTTGATGTGGATCTCCAGAACTGATGCCGTCTGTTTGAGCCAGGTCTACGCTTTGCACTTCTGACGCCTTTAGGTGTTCTGATGCGGCTACCTTAGATTCCTTTCCGCCCGCGTTCTTCGCTTCCGTTTCAAGCTTGTCAAGATGTGACTTCTTCGCATTCTTTATAAGTGACGTCTCTGCGGATTCTAAGGAACCAGCAAGCTTGTTGCGACGCTTGACCTTGTTATGGAGCTCGTCGAAATCACGGTTGATCCAGATGTTGCGGATCCCACCAGGGAAAACATCGTAAAGTCCTTCAAGGGCTTCGAACGTGCACCATTTAGGTGGTATTGCTGTAACTAGAACAGTTGTTGCAGAAGCTCGCAGTCGATGTTGGGGTGAAGTCAGATAGGCTTGGCGTAGACGGATGTAACCCCTAATCTCATCGAAGAACACAAAGCATGTGTAGATAACTACGCCAACAGCCAAGACAAGATGAGCCCAGTATCTATTGTTCTTGTCGGGCGGTACATCGCCCCAGCCGAACCGGTCGAGTCCTGTGACGTTTGTATAAGTGCTTGATTTGAAGTTCCCTGTAGCAAAGTGTGGGCCCCTTCCGTGGACAAAGTTCAAGGGAAGAAGTATGGGGAGGATGACAAGTGCCATCGGGATAAAGATTTTCAGTAGTGTTCGTAAGTATCGTAGGAAAAAATAGGCATCCAGCCCACATTTCTGTATGAAGTCCGAATTTGACGTCTTGAAAACGGGTAGAATCCATTGCCAAAGACCTTTGGGAGGTGGTGCAGTTCGTTCACGTTCAGGGAGAAGAAATGTACGTGGTCTGCTAATTAGGGGTTAGCAGTTTCTTCAAAAATATATGTGCGCAGGCTTACTAGATTCTGCTAAACCTGCCATGAAGCAGTAGAAAAAGGCTGAACTCTATCCCAAAGACAGCGAGACCAGAAATCAAGGAGGCAAGGAATGAGTCGAGTGAAATGCCTGCTGACTGACTCGCTGTGCCACCTTGATCCAAAGCCTGGCTGAACGACGTAGGCCCCGCGATTGCTGAAGTGGAGGAAGACATGCCAGTAGCAGTTATTCCTAGGCTGGAACGGTATGTTCACGTGGACTTGCCCTGTGAGTGAGTGCGTGAGTAGCAGAGCAATCTCTAGCGACTACCTGAGTCGCCCACGCATTGATCTCATGGTAGAAAGGAGAGGAAGTGAGTGACGGCGATGGCATGAATGATGGCAAACGTAGAGGGAACTCTAAGACGCCCGCATGACATGTCGGAGGCGACAGCATGTAGCGCTCAGTGGCATGTTGTGTATCATGGGAAATCTGGTCAGAGCGCCCCTTTGTTACCACTTGGTGACTGGCAGGGATCACTTCTTGATTAACAGCGAGCCACGAGACTGGGAAGACGCGAGTTTGAACGCTAAGCTTTTCTATAGATTCACTGTCAAATTCCTAGCGGCGGTTAATCTCTCGTCCAATGAACGAAGCTTTTGAATTGGTATTCTTCGCTCACGACAGATCTTACTTTGCTCAAATCTCAGGCCATGGAGCAGATTTTTTGTGCAAGTTGTGCAAGAACACTACACGAGATCTTTGTGCTAGCAATTCTGGAAGCTGCTTATTCGTAGAGACGGTTCCTACAGCCAAGCCCTGATAAAGTGGGGCTGCGTGGGGCAGATTTTGGCGCCTATAATTGTATGGAGGTGCAATTGACTGCTTCTGCTTCTGCTTCTGTTTCTGCTTCATGCTCAAAACCGCCAGCATCCAAGGGTCCATTCTATTCACCACGTCTCTGACTGCCGAGGAAGATCAATTGAGCGCGGATTGTATGTGGCCAAGCGGCCTCCTGCGGCAATCCTCCCACCATCTTCGGATTGGTAAACCCCTGCAACTCATGAATCAGCCCTTACTACACACTTCTCGCTCCCAGCTCCTCGCATTCATGACTTCGTGTCGCGCAACAAATGCTGATCTGCTGTCATGTAGTGTGAAGCTCCTCCCGGAGTATAGATACTCAATTTTGGAACTACGTTGGGAGTCCTGCATTGCAATTGCCAGAATCGCCGAACTCATCAGTTTACGAGTACTCAATCAAAACTTCAAGGGTTCCTGAACCGCAAGACAAGATGGTTGGGTTAGGACCTAGGCGCCAGCCATCCCGAAAGGGTCCGTTGTCTCTCTGGGTGAAGCGTGAAGCTGGAGACTGATGGGGCATGCGTGTAGGGTCGATGGCAGATGTCCCTGATGATCTTCTCGAACAGATCAAGTACTTGGAGAACGTATTCACGGTGGATCAGGCTAAGTTGAAAGAGGTGACCAACCACTTCGTCAAGGAGCTGGAGAAAGGAAAGTCACCTGTCCTATTGCGCCGGTGAGGACATCTCTAACACCGACCAGGCCTCAGCGTCGAAGGTGGCAGCATTGTCAGTAGAGCGAAGCATCGAAGGTCACCCTCGAAATACTGACTTTACCACAGCCGATGAATCCGACCTGGGTCATGGGATTTCCTGATGGCCATGAGACTGGAACGTTCCTCGCCCTCGACATGGGCGGAACCAATTTGCGTGTCTGCGAGATCATCTTACTTGAAGAAAAGGGTGAGTTCGACATAATCCAGTCAAAATATCGGATGCCGGAAGAATTGAAAACGGGAGAATCCGAAGAGCTGTGGGAATACATTGCGGATTGTATCCAACAGTTCATTGAGTATCACCATGAAGTTGAAGATCTGGAAAAGCTGGACAAAATCCCTCTTGGTTTCACCTTCTCATTTCCAGCCACCCAGAATTACATAGACAATGGCATCCTCCAGCGCTGGACAAAAGGGTTTGATATCTCTGGCGTCGAGGGAAAGGATGTCGCCCCCCTCTTTGAAGCCGCCCTTGCCAAACGAAAACTCCCCATCAGACTCAGCGCCTTAATCAATGACACCACTGGTACCCTGATTGCCTCAGCGTATACCGACGACACCATGAGAATTGGCTGCATCTTCGGCACCGGATGCAATGCTGCCTATATGGAAAATTGCGGCTCCGTACCCAAAATAGCCAGCTACAACCTGCCCCCGGATATGCCTATCGCGATCAATTGCGAATATGGTGCATTCGACAACGAGCACATAGTCCTCCCTCGCACACCTTACGACGTCGTTGTCGACAACGACTCGCCTCGCCCCGGCCAGCAAGCTTTCGAGAAGATGATAGCAGGCCTGTATCTTGGCGAATTATTCCGTCTTGTGCTCGTAGATCTGCACGACAACAAGAGCTGCAAAGTCTTTCAAGGGCAGAACATCAGCAAGCTGCGGAAAGCATACACGCTTGATTCTTCCTTCCTCTCCATGATCGAAGAAGACCCTTTCGAGAATTTGTCAGAAACTGGTGATCTGTTTCATAGAGAATTGGGCATCAAAACAAACAAACCCGAACTGGAACTCTGTCGCCGCCTTGCCGAACTAATTGGCACTCGCGCTGCCCGCCTCTCAGCCTGCGGTGTTGCAGCTATCTGCAAAAAGAAGAATATGGAGACTTGTCATGTTGGCGCCGATGGCAGTGTGTTCAACAAATATCCTCACTTCAAAGCTAGAGGAGCGGTAGCACTGAGAGAGATATTAGACTGGAAGGTGGGTGAGAAGGATCCCATCAGTATTTTGGCTGCAGAGGACGGGAGCGGTGTGGGGGCGGCGTTGATTGCCGCCTTGACGATCAAGCGGGTGAAGGCTGGCAACCTTGCAGGCATTAGAAATGTCGAGGGGATGGTGTAGATACTCAACGACATAGAACATAGAACGGAAACAGGCCTGGTCTTTCGAACTGGGGCAATCTCAGCTACTAATGTAGGAAAAATCAATGCTCTGCTCCTCTCAGAGCAATGATGGGACAACCCATAATCTGACTTTCAATGCAATCAGAGGCTTCTTGCTAGCTAACTGCGTATCTCCCACAGCCTTATCTTGCCTTGTTCATTTGCCACGGCCAGCATATCTGCAGTAGGCGACCAAGCAACAGCGGTGATCCTCCCAAGCGGTGTCGAGCTTGTAGGCCAATTTCGATACACAGTACAGCTTGGCAGGTGAATCAATCTCAGTGCATCTCTCTTCCACCTGCTAGCCATGCACAAAACTTGTCCATCTTGCGAGAATTCTAAATGTGAAGTTGGCGTTGTCAGTTGGTCGAATGCCCTCACTGGATTTGGCCGCGCAGGCACGCTTTCTGCACTCCATTTTCGTCGATCGTAGATATTGACGATACCACTGGAACTGCCGACTGCCACCCATCTGTCATTTCCCAGCGCCTTAGACCCCCCTCCATGTCCCCCCAATGCCACGACCGTAGTTCCTATAGCACCTTCGTCTATCCACCTTGCAACAGCTCGTCTTTCTCGTCCGTCCCACTCGACGACTTCGCCTCCTTTACCAACGACCACCAAGCCTTCTCCGTCGCCCCACCAATCAAAATCTGCAACACCTCCTTTGCCTTCAACCCTCACCTCTGCAACCCATTGGCAGCTACTTGCATCGAGAACGTTTATCGTGCCACCACGTTTTCGGCCAGAGCCCACAAAACCTATCCAACGGCCACACGGGCTCAGCTTGAAGCGCTCCATACTGCGCTGTACCTCGCCATGCCCAATCACTCGAGATACCTTCTCTACCTTTCCAGTGTCCAGATCCCAGGTATGAAAATAACGGCGACGGCCAGAGAAAAATATTTTGTTGCCAGCTGGGGGGTGGAAAAGTGAAGTTGTGAGAGGAGTGGAGCTTAGGTGTAGAGTTGTAAGCACCGGATTTGGATTTGGAAGGTGCGGAGAGACATGGTGGAGGAAGAGCATAGAAGAGGGTCCGGAAGAGAGGAGAAGAGAGTGGACGGGGTGAAAGTCGAGATTTGTTATGGCGGACTAGGGGGGAGAGAGATTAGCAATGCCAGAAGAGAGAAGAAGAGGAAAAAGACTTACAGGTTGGACAGTGCCGACATCCCTGGTACGATGGATGTCGATGACTTCTGGACGGAGCTTCTTGCGAATATTAGAGCTTGTAGGTATAAGTTGAATGAGACCATCGGTGTCCTGTAGAAGCTTGGCAAGTGGATGGGTGGATAGGTCGTCAGATCCGACGGACATGTCATCCGCGGAAGCATTGGCTTCGGAGCTTTCTGAAGCAATTGACAATTTATTTCGTTTTCTTGATGCTACTTGTTCTGCGACAGTGGGATTTGCCCAGTCCGGGACTGGGTATAGTCGCTCGAATTGACGGCGTAGTCGTTTACTGTACTCCTTCCCATTGACCAGGTCCTCAAATTCAGTAGTCCTGAGTTTCCGCAGTCTAGGGTTGGAGGCCAGGGAGACGACAATACGTTCGTCGTCGCTATCAACCCATGCCGCGGCGTTGCCGCCGTCTGACGACGTCGTGTCTTGGTCTGAATTCGATTGGGGTAAAAGGTCTGGGACATGCATAACGGACGGAGTGGAGTCGAGGAAAAACAGCTGGAAGGACGTTGAGCGAAAGCAAGTCCGATGGGCAGTTGAACTTTACAAACATCGGTATCATCAAGGCCTTCCAGATTTCCTTCTCCCAAGCCATCTTGAGCTTGTTGACGGTCACCGTCCACCAGGTCTCGAAGATCAGTACTAGCATCTCTGTGTGATTTCAGTCCTTCATGAAAGCCTGCCTTGTCACCAAATACCATCTTCTCAAGCTTCATTTCGACCTCATCCTTCTCCATAGGTTCATCACTGTCGAGTCCTTCGAAGTCATCGATCATCTCGTCGAGCACTGGGGTAATTGGCCGCTGGACTGGCTTATGGGAATTCGAGAGAGGCATTGTAGAATGTCTAAGGGATTCAGGAATGTAAACGTATTAGTTTCCACTTGCTTTAACTCGAATGAAAATCAAAATCTTAGCAGCGATGGTGGGGGTCCGGCTTGTAAGGATTTCGTTTATAGGAATGCCAAGAATTCCAGAGGATTGGAGTTGCCTGGCTCCGCTCGGATCTGGTCAACGTGATGGCTACTATTGCTCTATTCAACTACTGTATTGAACAGACTACTCCAAAAAGTTATTTGGTCCTGCAGTCGAGGGAATGCAGTGAATCGTGAATCTCAAGTCTCGATATTTCAAGTGCTATGTACCGGTTTACGAGACCAGAAGTGCTTTTGAGACTAGGAGTCCGAATCTGACATTGGACTGTCAATTTGAGATTGCTGGCTTCCAGCGCCTGACAGGAGCCTACGGCATTGTAGGTTCGCTTGAAACCTTCGAGTACGAGCCAAAGACTTGCTACCGTTGTAGCTTTTCGAATCTGAAAATGATCTCATGTGGAGCAGTAGTCTACCGTCAGAATCACCAGCAGAACGCAGTGTGCACTGCGCCTACTCCTCGAGGTGCGAAATTATACCCCAGAGATCAGGACTGTACCGTCTCCGTGATCATCGTCTCCACGCCGGACGGTGGTCAAATTCCAGCGCCAACTACCTGTGGCAAGCTGCGGGAGACCGGGAATAAAGTGGCCAAAGCGAATGCTGTTGCTGATTAGCATCTGCAAGCTGGTCTATGCGCCTTGTTTCAGCCTCTTTACAGCAGCCAGCCCGGGTTCTGGATGTCTAGATCGTCGCGCGTTGCGGGATTTTGCATTGGAGTGGAGATGCCTTATCATTGGCATCCATGTGCGGTTGGCCATGGCTTCGCAGTTTAATGATAAACGGGATTACTCGTCCCAAACTGATCACACATACGCTTGCTCCCAGTCAAATAGACATTATTGCCGATAAGACAGAGGGACAGATGCCTTTTATCCAGATGTCACTGCGTAATCGAAAAGTGCTCGTTATCTCAACTCGAAGCCGACCTGGGCTGTAGGTTCATAATCAGAGCAAATAACAAACGAACAACAACCCATCCATCTTCTTTCACGTCTTTTGCCGAGAACGCTAGAGCGACCATTCCACAAAGAGAATGGTTCGAATTGATCAGGGCAGCGCTTCCATTCGCCACCTGCTGGTCGCTAACAAATAGCTACCTATCATTGGGGTTCCTGTAAAAGGGTGGTGAAAATGATAGCATTGAATATTTTTCAAACATACTTCAAATGCGTGTATGTCAAACACGTTTCAATTACGATTAGTACCTTTCGCCACGTGTGTCGGCTGGGTATGAGCATCGACCATACGCAGAAAGGGTGCTCAGTCGCTACAGTTTCCGTCCTTGGATGCGTGCTGACCAACTCGCGATGCGCATGTTGGCAATGAACGATGTAGATGTCAGGAATTATTGGACAAGTGCCTATCGAATCAGACAAGCTCGGGAGTTGGCAAAGCTGATAGGATGCGGAGTAAGATCCGGGTAAGCTGGTGATCCAAAGACCTAAAAGGAATAATTTCCTACCCCAAGCTCCCATCTGAGCGTGCAGAACGCACCATCTATTAGCCGCCTGCGCTTCGCTAAGTTCCGGGGTAGCGGCGTTCCACTTGTATACCTGTTAGGCCCGGCGATTGCTAGACCTTATCAACGCATTGCGGAGATTTATTGAGATCGCTCCAGGCCAAGCGACGGGCGTCACGCCAACCCTGGTTGCCATCCAGTTCAGGGGTGCTATGTTGTTCCATCGGAAAGCCTTTCACCGGACACCCGTCTTCCAAAGTATGAGACTGATGAGGTCAATGCATGAGAAGCTAACGTCGGCTACCATGATACGCGCAGTACCTCAGCTTAGCTTCCCAACCCCATGATTCGGATGGACTTGGGATAGCGGGTAAGTAACAGGCACAAACAGTCCATGGCAGATCAAAGGCTGCTCTTCTAGGCATGACAGAGATTTTCAGACGCAATACTGCAACAGGGTCGGTTCGGCGGACAGTAGCATTCTTAGAGCGCAGAGCCAGGGAGAATGCAATCAGAGTTGAAGGCAAAACTATTGGAGGCATATTCTTGCGACTGATAGCATAAGTATAAATTTGTCCCGACTTCCAGCCACAAAGTCGCACACGGAAGCCCTTTGATTGCTCAAGAACCTATTAAGGACGGCAAAAGTTTATTGTGTATATCTGTCCTGCTGTGTATCAGCCGTGGTCTCTCTATTTGGTGCTTACTTCTTTCTGTTTGATACTTCTTCTACTTGAAGCCGGCGTTGGTGTTGGTGTTGGTGGTGAACGCGAGGAAAGGGTTGGTCTTCTTGCCCTTATCTTTTTAGCGGCAACGGTTTCCTTATCAGATCGGGCTAAGGCACGTAAAAATGCCTTGTCCAGCGGATAGGAGTGGGGAGGATGTCGTTCAAATTCAAGTCCAAAGATTTCAGTTGGTCGACAACAATGATGCCAATCACGTCAATTGCGCCTCCACCACCACCAACAGAAATTTCTTGACCGCCTCCAAGCTCACACCCCACCACCTACCAATTCGAAGCCTTGATCTCAACGCTGCAGCGAACCCATTGACCTCCAACGGCGCTTTCTGGTCTCCTCTCAAAGCGATCCCTCTCGCGTCCTATTACAAGCTTCATCGCGTGCCCTCGCTATCAACCATGACCGAGTCCGACTTAGACGATATGGACACCGTTCAATTGCCTCAGAGCGAATCGACTGCAGAGCCGACGGAGCAAATATCTGAGAATGGAGTTCAAAACGCAGTCAAATTGCCTCGCAGAGAATCTACATCAGAGCCTCCAGAGAGACTGCCAGAGAACGGGGTGCACAACAGGATTCTGGAGCAAGTTGTTCGCACTCCGGGCCGTCAGCCTTCTCCGCAACCCACACATCTCAGCATTCCAGGTCCAAGTCAGCACAAGGTGCTGCATGAGGAAGGTTCCGGCTACGTCGCTCCCAAGTTCGAGGGCAAGGAGTTGCAGATGGATCAGGGTATGCCATTCCCGAGCATAAATTTTGAGGAGTTAATGGACAGTGCTGACATGCCATTACTACAGTAATGGATCAGATTGAAGAGAAAGGCTTCATACCGCCAGAATTCGTCGAATCTGAGACCAATTGGTTCTACAACGAATTGGGTATCGATGACATGTACTTTCAAACAGAGACTGTCCCAGCTATCGTAAACCACATACTCTCACTCTACGCAGGGAAGGTAGCAGCATTTGCTCGAGACGATGGTCGCTTGGAGATTCGGCTTGACAAAGAGGCTGCCGATCACGCCGTATACATAGACACCAGCATGCCCGGTGTCAGCGTAGTAGATGGCCCAAGGTACGAGCAGCGAATCGACGAAAAGTACGTCAACGGCTCTACAAGCGACAACAGCTACCGAGTAGAGACCTTCCGCTCCGGGAGTCATCTTCCTGGAGAGAAAGATCAACAGCTGCGTTGCTATTTCGTATACAAATGCAACTTCGCCAACCCTAGCCCTGGCTCGGAAGAGACCAGATTGGATATCATAGGGGAAAAGCGTTTCCTGCAGAAGGCTACACAGAACACCAAGGACATTTATCAAGAAGTCATGAACAACGCTGTGGGGCGAACTGGACCTGTCATTGAGATGTTCGAGATGGAAGCCAGTAGAGAGAAAAGACTTGTCATAGCATATCGACAAGGTTCTGCGATGGGCATGTTTAGTGCTCTCTCTGACCTATACCATTACTATGGCTGCACGAGCTCGAGAAAGTACGTGGAGCAATTCTCGAACGGGATTACGATCATGTCCATCTACCTACGACCCCTTCCACAAACGGCCTCCAACTCGAAGCATCCGCCAATCGAAGCCTCGATCCACCAGATAATGAAGGAAGTCTCTCTGCTGTACTGCATACCCCAGAACAAATTCCAAGGACACTTCGCAAGCGGCCGACTGAGCTTACAGGAGACTATTTACGCACACTGTGTATGGGTGTTTGTCGGCCATTTCTTGAACCGTCTGGGATCGGAATATGCTTCGCTTGCCTCTTTGCTAGATCCAAACAATAGCGTCCATGCGGAAATGCTGTCCAAGATCAAACGTCGTCTTAGGACAGAGACATTTACCTCGGACTACATCCTTGAGATAATCAACAAATACCCCGATCTGGTACGATCACTGTATTTGGCCTTTGCTAACACCCACTATGTTCAGACGAGAGGCGAGCAAGACGACTTCATTCCTACGCTCAGCTACCTGCGCCTCAAGGTTGACGTTGTCCTTGACGATACTCAGCTCAAGTCACTGATCTCAAAGACCGCCATGAATGAGCATGATCAGATGGTTATGACCGCCTTCAGAGTCTTCAACGCTGGCGTTCTCAAGACCAACTTCTATACTCCAACAAAAGTTGCGTTGAGTTTCCGGCTCAATCCCAATTTTCTCCCTGAAGTTGAATATCCTCAGCCATTGTATGGCATGTTTCTCGTCATCAGCTCGGAGTTCCGAGGCTTTCACCTTCGCTTTCGCGACATCGCCCGCGGCGGCATTCGCATTGTTAAGTCCAGAAATCGTGAAGCATATTCTATCAACGCCAGATCCCTTTTCGACGAGAACTACAATCTCGCAAACACTCAGCAACGCAAGAACAAAGACATTCCCGAAGGAGGGTCCAAGGGTGTCATTCTACTAGATGTGCACCACCAAGATAAGGTCAAAGTGGCTTTCGAGAAGTACATTGATAGCATCATGGATCTTCTACTACCTCCAACAAGCCCGGGAATCAAAGACCCAATCGTCGATCTCCATGGCCAGCAAGAAATCTTATTCATGGGCCCAGACGAAAATACCGCAGATCTGGTCAATTGGGCAACAGAACACGCCAGGGCAAGAGGAGCGCCGTGGTGGAAATCATTCTTCACCGGAAAGTCTCCTAAGCTGGGAGGAATTCCTCACGACGTTTATGGAATGACAACATTGTCGGTGCGAGAGTATGTTCAGGGCATATACCGGAAACTTAGTCTACAACCCAACGCAGTTCGGAAATTACAGACTGGTGGACCGGACGGCGACCTTGGGTCCAACGAGATCTTACTTGGCAACGAGAAATACACAGCAATTGTCGATGGTGCAGGCGTGCTTGTCGATCCAACTGGCCTGGACAATGTGGAGCTCGTCCGGCTGGCAAGGAAGCGTGCCATGATATCCGAGTTCGATGTCACAAAGCTTTCTGCTGACGGATACCGAGTCTTGGTAGACGAGACGAGCATCACACTACCGTCCGGAGAGACTGTTAACAATGGCATGATCTTCCGCAATACGTTTCATTTGCGCGGTGAAAAGCAATTCGACGTCTTCGTGCCTTGCGGTGGCAGGCCAGAGTCCATCGACTTGAGTACCGTCAACAAACTCATTGTCGATGGCAAAAGCACCATTCCGTACATCGTTGAAGGTGCCAACCTATTCATCACGCAGGACGCCAAGCTGCGGCTCGAGAAGGCTGGTTGCATATTGTACAAGGATGCCTCGGCGAACAAAGGGGGGGTCACATCTTCATCCCTTGAGGTCCTTGCATCATTGTCCTTCGATGAGCAGGGTTTCGTGGAGAACATGTGCATACGTGATGATGGTACGGCGCCACCATTCTATGACGCCTACGTCAAAGAGGTACAGGAAACGATCAAGCGTAATGCGGCACTAGAATTCGAAGCTATTTGGCGAGAACATCAGCAGACTGCCATCGCACGAAGCACTCTGAGCGATACTTTGAGTGTCGCCATTACTAAGCTTGACGAAGAGTTGCAGAAGCAAGACCTCTGGAAAAACATCGAGCTCCGAGACGCAGTACTCGAGGACGCGCTACCAAAATTGCTCCTCGAGAAGATTGGGTTGAGTACCATCATCGAACGTGTAAGTCCATTACCCGGGAGTCGATGAGGCTCTGTGCTGATCATTCTAGGTTCCCGACAACTATCTTCGCGCGATATTTGGCAGTTATTTGGCCAGTCGATTTGTGTACGAGCATGGCAGTAGCCCCAGTCAATTCGCGTTTTTTGACTTGTGAGTAAACGTGTCCCCAGCGATAGCATGGCCGTTAACATGTGCGCAGTATGTCCAAGAGAATGGCAAGGTTGAAGCAATAGCGCGAGCTTGCATCAAAAGAGAATGGCGGCTCATGGGATGCGAGTATACTTGTAGGCTACAGTACAATAAACACGTGGTGTGATTGGGGAGGCTTGCTGCTTGCGACAGCATTAGTCTAGTACGAAGATGAAGGCATGCAATTACTATTATAGATACCTTACCAATTAAAGAGTGGATTCGACAGCGGCATTGTCATTGGAATGTACGAGTAGCCGCGCAATACGCATACCCCCGACTGTTTTTGTTTTGATATTATTGATCAACCATGCGCCTCGAGCCCCTTGTACTCGTCTCTTGAAACCTGCACCTTCCAACATCAACAAACATTTCCCCCTCACCATACAATCTTCCCAACGCTTCTCAGTCGCACAACTCCGACATACCACCAAGATAGTGTTCCGAAATTCTTTGGACTCTTCATCTGTCGGCTTTCCCCCAACCTCTGTTTCTGTGAAAGTAAGTCCCGTGATACCTACCGAATGTAAACAAGTCCGGCAACGCGCCTCCGACCCCACCAATACCATCCACTACAAACCCTTTACTAACTCACCTCTCAGACTCCGCATCTTCTTCACCTGTCCGCCCCAACATCCGGCAATGGCAAAGACAAAGGAAGTTCGCGAAGGTAACCGCCCGGGACTTCGGAAAAACAGAACACCCCGCGTGCTTTTCGCCATCGAGGACGTAGCGCCTAAGCCTAAGTCAACCTCCAAGAAATCCAGTGTCCCCAAGACGAAAGCGAACACATCCAAGCCACGCGCCAAGGCTGCGACCGCGGGACGCGTTGAGAAGAAGAAAGCTCCGGCGACCAAGAGTAAAAGAACCCCCACTGTGACCGATAAGGTGAAAGGAGTTGTCGAGAAGGCTGTGGGCACGATTGAAGGCAAGCCGGCGAAGAAGGTATGCTGTTTCCATTCATCCTTGCCGTCCAAGAGCTGGAAGGCTATGCTTATGTCAACTTCTTTGGCGCGGTTGACCACAAATAGGCTAACGGTTACATCCAGGCTGCCGGCACGAAGAAGACCAAGGGCACTGATGGAAAGGGATCTGTCCGCGCGAAGAAAGCTTAGACGCACGTTCGCGACTTACGGGTCATCGTTTCATCGTGCGGAAATGGTAGAAACAACCTTGGCTCTATCTGCGCATTTCGTCCTCCCTTGCGCTGCATGCACGCCTCTATGTGTCTTTCTGCAAGGGAAGCTAGGCGCAGGATGTGATGACGGTCTTGGTCAATGGCGGGTGTGCTACAATACGTCGCTTGTTTACATTTCTGGCGAGGGCAGGGACGAGTCAGGAGTGGCGGCGTGTCCTTTCACGTTGGAAATGTACGATACCCTTTGGTTATGTTCACAGGAGTATTTGATGGCTTCTCCTTTTCCTTTGCTCATGTATTCATGATTTGAGGTCATCTTCGGTCTTGTTTCTTTCTGTGGAGACCTTGTTTGTTAAGGTAGCGCAGGGACTATTCCTCGTTTCATTGCTTCATCGGTGTGTTCATTAGGTAACAAGACTATAATGTTTCAAAACGTGGTAGAGGCAATCCCAATACTCTAGTCATAAGTATGATAATGTTAACTTCAATATCAGGCCTTCCGATCAGGCTGTGGAGTATCACCACCTACTAACTCCACGTGACCAAAACATATAGTCGGACCCAGGACGCCTTTCAAACCGCCATAAGCACTTGGAGTATCATCATGCTCATCCCCAAATTCCCTGAAACCGCGGATCAATCACACACGCCAGAATACCACATTACGGCCTTCCCCTTCTCCGGAGCCCATACTCTTCGGCCTGGAGCTCCTTGATTAATCTCATACTCTCTTCGTCGGCCATATTTTCCGAACCTATCCTTGCTTTAGGCTTCTGATCTGAAAATGGATCTGCCATTACTGGCGACGCCGCCTTATCACGTGCATTTTCGCCGTACGAGCTACTGCTAGCTCTTCTCATTGATCCCGACTCTGGGGTATATCGCTGCGTCTGCTTGGGTTGACTCGAGGAATGTCTCGATGAAACTGTCGAGGATTTCCATCCGACATGTGCGTTGATTGGACTGATACCAGCATCATCGTGTGACGAGGCTGGGGGGGAGACTAACGACGAAGCGGGTGGTTCGAAATTTTCTCTAGACTCTAACGTCGCCGCGCTGACCTCAATTTCAGGTGCAGGACAAGAATCGCTGATCTGCCATTGGTCTGCAACTTTGTCCGAGATTTCTTTCATATATCTGTGAGGCGATCCCGCGCTCAGGCCAACAGACTGTTCGAGGGAAACTGGGACCGTCGTCTGCTCTTCATGCTGAATGCTGTTCGCACTATCCTCAAAAAGTGCTGGATCAAGCGGAAATGGCTCCCCAGACGACGCTTGTGGGACAACGTCTGGCAAGCTCGGAATTCTAGGTTCCTGAACCACTGGACTTGTGGGTCGTGCTATCATGTTCGCGATGGGCGCTGGTCGCCTCATTTGCTCCTCGAATGCTAGTACAGTCGGCACTCGTTGTTGCTGTTTGACATTACGTTTACGGACAGCCCCTTGCACATGCTTCTTGGGGGTAGAAGCTTCATTGATTTGAGTGTTCAACTTCCGCGCATGAGGCCTTGGGATCGCAGACTCGCGCACCTTGACGGGATCTTCATTGCCATGTTCATCGTGTATACAACGACGCTATATATGCGTAAGTGACACGCGAATAAAAGATGGTGGATACGGTACTGACCTTGCTTTTACGGCATTCATTGCATGCTTTATGTCTTGGTCGAGCTAGTAAAGCGTTGCCTGAAAAGGAGTCAAGACCTTTATCAATTGTCGCGGACATCGATTCCTCAACCTTAGAGAATATTGAGATGGCTCCCTCGGCCGAGAGATTCGATCGAGAGGCCAGATCATCAGCCTGATACGAGTATCCGTCGTTGAAATGCGCTGTTGAAGTTGTTTCGGGAACGAGGTCTAAAATTGCATCATTAGATTCTGGGGTTCTGCTGTTGGAAGTAGGCGAAAGTGTTGAGTCTTGCCGGTCATCTGGACCTGGCCTGAGCGACGAGGTGGGGTACTGCAACGATGTGCCCAGATCTGTTGAGACACTTCCCAAAACATCGATTTGAGTAGAAGGCATTGACAATGAAACCTGGTCCTTATGCTTGCAGGCTCGCCTTCTTTTACGGCAAGACTCACAAGCAGTCTTTCTATGGGACGTTCCATTCGTACCTCCTGACGACGTCCTAGGTTTCTTCGGATTGTTGTGGCGTATTGGATCGTTTTGGCCATGCGCGATCGATAGTGCTGCACCTCCTGGCGAGTCTAGTAGCACTTCTGAGGCTGCTTGTTGAGACTGCATGCGTGCTGATTGTCGTCTGGGTGCTTGAAGTGCAGCCTCCCGGTCGAGCTTTTTCATCGCAGCTGCACTCAATCTGTCAGGCGCAAGCGTCTCTGGTTCAGCATCAGGATAGGCCCAATGTGGAATTGGCTCATTGCCACGCTTCCAAGCACACCACGCAGCAAACCTTTTCAGAACGTCGAGTGGCTCGCCGTGGCCTCTAGGAATTGACTTCTTCACTGCATTGCGTGTCTCTGCAGATATGCCATCCGTGATACTACCGATATCGATCAACGCCGTCCTTAGCAGGTAACGCGTCAGGTCGGGCAATCCATCAAGTTCCGATTGAGAGTAGTATCTTTTATGATAGTTTTCTCCACCCGGCCGAGAGTTCTCACCCCACGAGTCAAACTCATTATGAGCTGGCTGCTGGCGGACGAAAGTGTCACCAGCGTGAAGCAACTCCTTGACTTTCCTAGGTAAGGGGTCGTCCTCGAGGTAACGTAGAGCAGTGTACCAATGAAGCTTCTGGAAGTGAGGGTATCTAAACTTCCTAGCAACTCCGGTAGCCTTCTCAACCTGAGCAACTCGTAGCTGCATTCCAAAGTTCAGACGCGTGAGGAAATTGCCTCCGATGACCAAGCTATCTTCAGGAGTCCATACAGCATGAATCCATCCTGCTGGAATCAACATCGTGTCCCCTTCTGAAAGGTCGACACGATAGCACTCCTTGGTTTGATCGCCTAGAAAAGTCCAATTCTGCGCAGGTGACATACACCATTCCTCGTATTTCTTCAAATGTTTCTCTTTAGGTGGGATGAAGATGAACGTTTTCTTGCCCTTCAGTATGTGATAGAAGACCGATGAGCCACCAAAATCGATGTGAAAATCCGTAAAGCAATCCGCAACGGACATCAAACAGTAAAATTGTACCCTGGGATATTCCCCCTTGGCCAGCAACTCCTCTGGCCAGACTGAGTCTTGCAGATCGAGGTCCCGCACAATCTGTGGTCGTCTGATTAGGCGTCCCAGCTTGCTTTGAGAGACTTCTAAACTGATGACGTTCCGTACAACCTTGTTGTTCGGGTTTTCATAATAGTCTACCCATCGTCTCATATTCCATTTCTTATTCTCGCCATTCTGGGACTTGACATCGATTACCTCTACCTTCTCATCTTGGCCGTAGAGCTCTGCAACTTGTCTAACTGTCAGTCCTTGGGGGATGACCATGTCGAGAGCATCTTGTCCCTGGTCTAATACGGCTTCAGGCTCTGTATGGCGAGAGAACCAGTCTTCGGCAACGTCATTGTTGTCTAAGGGATTGGGCGAAGACGCATCGTTGGGCTGCCTTGTCGCTGCAGCATTTGAGTTTTCACTTGTCTTTGGGCGAGGATTGAAGCAAGCTGGTACTACGATAGGTTCCCTCATGCCTGTGCCTTTCTCAAAGTACTCGGCCGTCACCAGGTCCGGACGCATTCTGGCAAAATTATCGGGTAAAAAGTTGATGGTGCCATCCTTAATTGGCTTAATGTAATGGTGTTCTGGCCGCTCATCAGAAGTCTTGATGACTCCTTGGTGCAGACCAGCATAGTCAATGGCACTGTGGGCACGAGACGATTTTCGGACATATGTTGTAGATCCGTACAGAGGCTTGCATTTTCGACATCTGTATTTGTCCACACTCCGCACTTCTCGGTCATTCTTGAAGCCCGCACAAGCAAAATGAAACCAAGATTTGCAACCATCACAGCTGATCCAGGACGTGGCATTATTATCGTTCTCAATGGCTGGGGAGTTGCGGCCAAAGTTGCAGGACGCACAAACAGCAGCTATGGTAACTGCTAGGCAAGGTTGACCTTTCGAAATGCTGACGTCGCTGGCGCTGATTGAAGATGCGTTGACTTCTTGCGCGGATTGTTTCGTGTTTTCTGCTTCTGCAGCCAAGGTTCCGTCCATGGTTCTCACTTGGTTTCCCAAAGCACCATGCATTGTACGTGACTCGTGATCCACCACTTCCTCTTGAGGCTCCTCTGGAGCGCCAAGAACTTCCGAATCTTTGAGTATTGCGCTGTTGACACCTTTCTGCCCTTCTGATGCTTGGACAGCATGTTCCAGTGCCTGTAAAACATCTTCCATTGGTTGCGTCGCGTCTACTTGCACCGGATCAGTTGGCATGTACCGCTTGTCAGATGAGACATCGTCGTGTGACTCATCGTTGAGACCGGCGCCAGAGCCGGTGATATGTTCCTTGACCTCTACATCGTTCTGCGGTTCAGAGTTCATGGCGGCGCCCGAGCTTCCGGTATGTTCTTCAACCTCGGACCTTTCGAATGTCTCTGTCCTCTTATTGCCGGCACCTTTCTCAGAGGCCTCTGGCGGCATGTCCAGGTTACTCTGCTGTGCAATTGCCGCAGGTGACAAGTGCTTCGTTTCGATCTCGGGCTGATCAACGGTCGTGTGGGAATTCTCGTTGGCGGGATCGTTAGACATCCGGTGGTCCAGATCTGTCTCTTGCCAAGGGTCTGCTTCGGATGCGGGTCGCTTTTCATCGATCGCTCGTTCTCCATGCGAAGGCGTCTGCACTTCTACCTTTTTAACATTATCTGCAAAGTTCCAAGCCTTGCCTTCTGTGAAGCATCTCACAGCATCCTCAGGACTTTGTACGGTAGGCCCAGGTGAAACGTTCGATGATGGTCGAAAGGCATTGAGTGATAGCTCTATATTGGCTTGAGGAGATTCTTGGGGAGAACATACGAGCTTGGCTGCTTCATGGGCGAAGTTGAGCAGAAGCTCCGCCTCAAGTCTCCTGCTTTCTGGTGATTGCTCGTAGCTCGTGGCAGGTCTGTTGTTTGCCCCCGCCGTTGTCCGTGACCAGTCCGGCAGCGGTAACTTTTCCGATTTCGCGCGCTTAGAGGGGCGATCTGTATCGTGATACCCATCATCGATGGATTGCGGCCCAGTGGAAGTGCTTGGCCGGTGATGCCTACTTGATTTGGTAGCCAGCGCTATCGAGGCAAAAGCGTCCATTGGACCCCCGGGCAGATGATCTTGCTCGCGCACATCGATATCGCTATAATCGTATAGAAAATATGATCTCTTGAGGCCCCCGTTGCGATGCCCTGTGGTGTCTGAACGGCGTACTTCGTCCGCCGTGATCCCAGTGAGGATTGGGGAGATGGGCTCGAAAGCGTGGCTAGGAGGCGATGGAGTGCGGTATCGAATAGGAGCAAAATCCGCGCTCCTCTTGAACGAGGAAGGCATGGCAAAGTTGATGGTAGATGATTGAAGTACGCGCTGTTGGGCGGCCTCGAAATTGGAGACAGCCCTGAGGTTGCAGCTCAGAGCAATGCAGCTGGGCTTCGCTTATCGAAGGGAAACATTGGTTTTTCATTCGCATGAAGCCAATATCAAGCTGCTCTGTGAAGTGAACGTGTTGTGAAGAAGTTGGTGGAGTTGCGGAGTAGATGGGGGGGTTAGACTCGGTACGAGTAGTGAGTCGTCCCATTGAAGGCTCACTAGCGTGTTGTAGGTTTTAGCCCTCGTAGTCCGCTCATCAACAACTTCATCCTCTTCCTATCATCTAATGTATACAGGCTTCTATCCTACTTATTATACTGTGGGCCCCCAAATTTCGTCCGGTGCTTCACAACAAATTCGCAACAAAGGGTCCACTTGCCTCGCCCTGAGGTTCGCTTGCCTGGTGCTCTTGCACATCTCCATAGAAATGACCATGCGGAAATCAACTCTTTCCTTGGCTCTCTCTCCATCTACTGGGTACTGATTCAGAATGAAAAGTCAATGAAGATGTGACAGGCCGTGCATGTTGTAAAAGAAGGATTGGATAAAAGCTGGTGCTTGTCTACAATGCCCATGGTTTTCAAGCAGGTTGAACAGAACGTGCCCTTTCTTCCCTACATCATGGCCCATCCTGAGTGGGATCATTATTGGCTGTCTCGATCCCATCGGTTCCTCGGTTTCGCCTTCCGGGTTTCCGCTCCTTAGAACATCGAAAACTCGTAGGCATAGTCAGCTCGACGAATGGCTGTCTGGTATCAGAACCATATCTGGTCTTTCAAATGTCAAGGGTGTTCACCCGTGGAACCAATGATGTATCTTCATAGGGACACGCAGACAAGCATGCTGGGTCATGATTTCATGGATTTGCGGCTCTGGGCGCTCATGAGGCTGCTCCTACAAGCAGAGTTACCTCTTCGTTTTGACAACGTATGAACGGGCATGCGTTCTGCATTGCTGAGTCTATACAAATAAAACTTCGGGGATGAACTGCTTCTTTAGCATGTGTCCACCGTGTCAAGGGTTTGTTCCTTCATCTCCTTCATCAAGCTATAAGTCTAAGATGACATGACGCAGGTTGGGAGATACCATTTCATGAGTTTGTCACCATATGTTTTGAGCGATTGTGTCAGTATGAGGAGACTGCCCCCCACACCAAGCTGTCTTCCTAAGTGGACCATTCACAAATGAGCCCAGATTCTAGAAGACGAGGCCCTACATGCTTGTTGCTTCAGCGACCCTAATGAGATACAGTTGTAGTGAAGTACAGATATGAAACGGTTTGCAAGAGAGATACCAGTCACCATTGCATCTAGCCCTGACATACGTGATTGAGCTCAAACTGTCGACACGAAGACTCTGGGATCTCAGTAAAGTCTTCAAGGTCCATTGATAAGTTTGGCCAATGAGGCGGAGGTTCGGAATTTTACATGAAGAGGCGAGTAGATTAGAAGGCCGTGGTAGAGATTCTGGGACATGAAAGTACAAGCTTTCAAGGTATTAAAAAGGGTCTCAAGGCTGGGAGACAAATGGTCCGCGAGTACTTTGCGAATTTGAGGTCGCCTCAGTGCTGCAATCGGTTTAGGCCGGGAAATTGGTGTACCCCTGAGGTGGTACATGCAGGACATTCGCGCATTCGCATGATTTGCGCCGGTAGTATTGGTCAAAATTTCCAGAAACTTACCTCTATCATTTGTTACTGTCTTTCGCGCCCTCGAAACGTAACACGTTATGGTTCCGATCGCGTGCCATGGAGATGGCGATTGTGTATCATGCTATGTCAATGAGATTCTTGATTGCTACTACGAGCTGTCTCGGTCTCCTGATCTAAAACCCTCACCGAGTATCAACTGTCTATTTGAAAGGCTTGTTGGATTATGTAGTAGGATACCCGATGAGGCTACCACAGCACAGGTCTGTCACACTGGGTACACCGCCAACAACAGTACCTTACATGAATCAAAAACAGATTCTGTCAGACCCCAAAGTCGTTGACATAGCTCCTCATTTGCGAAAGCTTTGCTCGGATGGCGAATATCAACTCGAAGCTCATTGGGCGCGAAAGGTGTGTTGCTGCAAAACACACGAAGAAGGTGGGTATCTTGCCTTTCACGTCTTTTCCTTCCGTGCAACGCTAGCTGACCTGAAGGTTGTAGCGAATGAGATGTTGCTCACATTTCCCTATCATGGAAACTACGTCGACCTCGTCCGTATGGAAATGAACGCCATTGCATCCGTGAAGCCGGATTTCGCCACGCGAACTTTTGCTTTCCTTGGCTCAGGTCCACTTCCTTTGACCTCTCTTTGCATCAGTCATCATCTTCAAAGCGAGTGCGTATCCTGCCATAACGTCGATCAAGATGCGACGGCCATTACGACGGCCGTTACATTGTGCCGCGCCTTGGGTCACTCTCCGGAAACTATGTGCTTCCAGTGTGCAAGCGCCGGTAGTCCAGATATCGACTTGGGATGCTTTGATATTGTCTATTTGGCCGCTCTAGTGGGCGGTTGCAGCACGCATAAACACGAGATTATGGCCGACGTCGTCAAGCGGATGAAGCCAGGAGCACTGGTTGTGATGCGCAGCGCGCACTCGTTGAGACGCCTGTTATACCCGGTCTGACGACCTCGCACGCCTCCGATTACCAGGCAAAATCTACTGACACTACTCATAGGTAATCGAAGTCACGGAGGATATGGCATCAATCGGGCTAAGACCCTTATTGGTCGTACATCCTTACAATCATATTGTCAACTCGTGTGTCATAGCTGTCGTCGAGTCCCCATGTGGCTGCGGTCCGTGAGATCTGCCACTTTTTGAAGCAGATGTTGCAGATTCGTTATGCAGAGATGGCACAGGTGACGAAGGCTCATTTGCTTGACACTCATGCCGTCTGATACGCGGTTCCAAGAGATGATGGCGGGCGAATACTTCTGGATTGGTAGGGCGCTTTAGGAGAGATTGTGCCTAACATTGAAGAAGCAATCCACTGTGCAAGCCACTCGTGTCACAGATAGGTTCATATCGCTCTTGCAGCCACGACCTCCCAGTCCCTCAGCTCTTTCCAGGTCTCGACCAGTGCAATGCGGCCCCCAGTCCATCCACTGTAGTCGCCTTTCCCGTCCTCGAGCAACACGTTTTGTTTCTCTATTCGTATTCCCGCCTCCGCGACCACCTGCAGGATCTCCTGACGTTTCTGGGCGGTGACTTCGATATCGGCGTACATCAAGCTGACATGCGGTGCCCAGGTCTCCTTCACCCAGCTTGTCGCCGCAGTCATACCCCCATTCTCCACGGCAGTAGAACGCACGTGTGCCGCGAAAGTCTCTAGGGGTCCCTTGCTCACACTTAATATAAGTTTCTTGAAGTATTGAGCCCCCACATCGAGTGACTCAAGGCAAACGTCGACATTGACTTTCTTCGGCAGCGGTAGATCGTCGAGCCATCTTTGGGCTCGCTTGTTGCCGCTAATGTCCGGAGGAAGCGTTATCTCGGAGGTCAGTGTCATATGTGGCTCGAACACAACATTGTGGAGTTCGGGAAAAAGGGAGGGGATCTTCGTAGTTACGAGGTCAGAGAGTATGAGTTGGATTGGTGAGTCGCTGGGTGGCAGGAGCCATAAAGAGCACCCTAAGGAGTGTATATCAGTGGGCTAACTCGCTTCGACGGTTGCTGAAGTACATACCTGGCATAGTTGCATCCGCAGCGTCTCGCGATGTACTATACGACTATTATTCGTTTTGGGTCATATGTAATAAACCGTTCTGGACGTGCTTTCAATGGTCTCTGCAGGCTAGGACAGGAAATAGAGTGAAGCAAAAGTCGTGAATTGAGGAAACCATGGGATGAACATCAGACGACCTCAGCCTTGGAAATTCTAAAGTAAATTCGCCGGTCGAACAGAGGGACGAGGATATCCTCGACGTTCTCCTCCGAGGGACTTCGGGTCTCTAAGGATTCCACCCAGCAAATTTTCCTCCTTTTCACGACTATTGCTACGTCTTTATGCGTGCGTTGCTCAAAGTAACAATGAAACGCGTTAGCGCGCGGCTGTTCCCCGGATCATCGGCCACGATCCTTCGGCTTATGTTTATGAGAGCAGAAGGTACTACTCCTAGGAGAGCCAGTACTAGACTTGTTCCGGCACCGAGGGTTTCACAAGGACATGGCGAGGCTAGGCGGTTGGAAAGAGTAGCAACCTCTTCGTCTTACTGATCAACTTGATGTTACCACCTTTCTTGGAACCTCTGCTGACTATACAAAATGGAAAGGGGAGTATTACGCGCGTGTTGTTGCTTCTGGTGCCTCTTTGAATACGATACATTGAGTTTGAGGTTCTGTCTTTTACGCTGCTCACGTCTCTCTTACAAACCTCCGTCTTACACCAGAACTCTACTTAGCAGCTCGTATCTGAGCATTCCAGATCAATGCTTCTAGAGAAGTAATCTCCAGGGCGTGAAGAAAGAACTGATATAAGATTCCACTGCTTTTGCACTCATACATGCTAGCCCAGCTCTTGCGTCGGTGTTCCAAGTCATGGCTTTGGTTCTGAGTGTACTCCCGAAAGCTACGTTTGTACTTCTTGGTGTAGCTAGTGGACTACAGCGCATTTCGGAGATCATACCAGAGTCTAGATGAGCATGGAGAGTTAATACCAATTCGATTTCCGTCCGGCGTTGATTGATAGCTCCACTCGTACGTTCACCAAAGACTCATCCGACCTTCCAGGCCGCATTCAAGCTGCACAGCAGCCCCGGGACCTTGTGGTCTCATGATGTTTTCCAACAAGTCAGCAGTAACGGTCGCACAAACTATGCACGTAGGAGCTGTGCCTACACCCTTGTTACGGGCACGGAGGCCAGAGCAGATGACCCAAGAATGCTGGCAAGCTGTCACTTCCTTTTCAATGACCGATGGCAATCATGACATGTGACATGGTTTGAAATTCCGTTCACCAGTAGAGAAGAATGTCGCTTTCCATCCTGAAATTAGGCGAATACTTGAATGAAATGCATCAATACTTACGGATGAAGCCATGAGCAGTTGAGGCGGACTCAATGGGAACTCGGCATCTCGGATCTCTCGGTTGTGGCTTTTGGGCTAGGCTTCCCGCAAAGGAAAGTCCCAATGTAGCCTGCGCTAACACTCATCCTGGAAGCGTTCTCGCGTTTATCCTGGTCCAATAAGCGTTTCAGGAAGATGGAAGGAGCTATTGCTACTTTGCTACTTTACGCCTAGGCTATTATTATGTTATTAAAGTAAGTAAGTACATATATGTATTGGCAGCTCGTCTTCCATTCAAGATTGTTACTCTGTTTGGCTTTGCTTTGGCTTTGCTATCTCATCATACTTCTCTTTCCTCCTTTCCTCCTCTCCTCCTTTCTCCATCCCATCTCAGCTGTGCGTCTCTTAAATCTCCCTCCTCCTCCTCTGTCTCGACCTCCAAACTTCTAGTCACCCTTTCCTCTCCTTTTGTACTATCATATCGTCAAATTCGCGTGGATCCTGGCCTCTAGAACGCAGAAACCATGGGACTCCGGCATTTCCTGACTGCACTGACAGTCCTACCTTCTATCGTGTACTGCCAAAGCCCGCTTACATCCTCGAAAAGAGGCCTTGTTTACGTACCAAGTGAGAAATATCCCCAAGACGATGCCAATTGGGACTCCCCAACTTCCGACCTCACTTGGTATTACAACTATGGTTCCAAGCCTTCTCCCGCCTTCGCAAATTTTCCCAAACTTCAATTCGTCCCTATGCTTTGGGGAACGGGCAATTCGTCCACTTTCCTCAGCGACGTACAGTCCCAGATCAAGGCTGGAGCCAACATCACATATGTTCTCGGATTCAACGAACCTGATGGGGATTCCAGCACGTACGTATATCCAGAACGATTTCTTCCTCTTTGGGGCCAAACTTCCATCGCAAGACATGTCTCGGGAGCCAAAGGCTTCTTTCAACCCTAGAGACTAGTCTCAAGAGTTGAATCTCTTGCTTAAAGAAGGGATGCTGACTCCGAAAACTTATCTAGCGGGGGCAGTGATATTCCAGCAGAGACGGCAGCCCAGATTTGGATGCAGCAGATTGAACCCTTGGCCAAGCAGGGTGTCAAAATTGGAGCCCCCGCATGTACAGGGGCTGAAACTGGCCGTCAATGGACTCAGGAGTTCTTCACAGCTTGCAGTAATTGCACAATAGATTTCATTCCAGTGCATGTAAGTAACTTTCCTAGCCCTTTGTTCCTAACGCATACCCTGATTTGCAATTTTGATCTTGAACATTCAATTGCTGACTGTAGGACTTGCAGTGGTATGGCGATTTCCAAGGCTTGGCAAGCCATATTGGTGAATATGTCGGCACTTTCAACAAAACCATATGGGTGACCGAGTTTGCGGATGCCCATGTTAATCTCCAGGAATCGCAGACGTTCTACAATCAAAGTTCCAGTTACTTGGACCGCACCGAGTAAATGTTTCCTACATCACCAATTCTAGTCAGACCACTAATCACCCCTGCAGAAATGTCACCCACTACTCATATTTCGGCGCTTTCCGTTCAGACGTGTCCAACGTTGGTGCGAATTCAGCCATGCTCACGCAGGATGGGAAGCTCACAGACATTGGGAGCTGGTATCTCGGTGGAGGCGAGACGGGCAGCGTGCCCAAAAGCGCTGCGTATCGGAAGACTGCGTTCATTCGTTCTAGCCTCCTCGTGGGCTTGACCACCATGTGGTGCGTACTGTGAGAGAGATGACTACCTTTGAGCCAAATAGAATCGATACTTAGAGTCCTTGTTGGTCAAATAGAAGGATCATGGGAAACGGAGTCGTGGCAGAAAAAGCGTGGGTGGGCTCGAGCCCTTCATTGTCTCGCATGGGCTCCAAGCCGCACAGAATCAGCCAACGTGGACATGAATTGAATGTTCGGAAGTGGAACAATCATTGATGGTGCATGAAGACATCAACGATTGCACACCGGATTATAGTTCTTGAATCTTCATTCGTAATGTGCACGCATAAACCATCCAATAAGGACAGTATGGATGACAGACGTCAAGGAATCAACTATATCTCGTAGGCAATATGTGCAAATCATCTTGACGCCCCTGGCCATGGTCTTACACGCAAAACCGCTGAAACCCAAAAATCCCCATCTAATGCTTCAACCTTGACCTCCATCATGACTAATATGCTTGCCCACGATAACCCATGTGTGGTACGGTCGGTTGCCGCCTTGCAGATGGCGAAGTGGCGCCGTCACTTTCTCGGCTGACTCTCCGGTCATGCCCGTATCCCATATCTGCAGCAGAGCTGACTAAGAATTCCGAGCTCTCATCGGCACCTCGAGGTCGCCGAGGTGGCGGCGTCTCGTCTCGATAGGGTTGGACCGTGTCGTAGCTTCCCCGGCTAGAATAAGTACTCAATGGGTAGCTTTTCGCCTGTGGATCCTTGACGTCTTTGTAATCCGTTGGGTCGATGAGAAGGGAATTGCGAGCGTCAAGGGGAGTCAGATCGTCGAGATCGCGATTGATCCGCTCTGAATAATGGTCATTGACATAACATAAAGAATTTTGAGGTCTAGCAAACTTACCAGCCTGTTTCCTCTGCTTTCGGTGAGGATTCTCCCTAATGCACACAATTATCGCGTTCACCGCAATCAAAATAGCCAGGACCGCAGTCAGGACGGACTGTACAGCGATCAAAACCACGCCGGTGATTGTCTTGGTGGATTGCGCGATTCCAAGCTGTTCCACGAATACCATAATGCAAACGACGGAGAGCATTCGTACGACCTGGATTACAACGTTGATCCAATTTCCGGCGGTAGTCGCGAAAGGTCTAGTGAATAGTACCAGAGCGAGCATGACAGACTCGATGATCAACTGCCCAGCTGTTTGCACCAATCCGTGGCCATTGCCGGCGGCAATAACGCATCCTTTAGCGAACATGTACAAGATTGCAGGCATGAAGAGCCACCAATAGCCTCGCTTGTAGTTGTCGTAGAACAAGCTGTACTTCCGCCACGTTTCCTTGTCTTCGAAAAGGATCGCAGTGTCGCCCTCCATTTTCTTAAATTTTTGAGCGATCTGCCAGATTCGAATGGTGAAGAAAGCGAGGACCGCAGTGAACAATGCGAGTGTGACACCCGCAAGAACTTTGGCAGCCCAGGAGTCACCGTTAGTGAACTGATAGATGCAATAAAGGGTCCAGACACCGTAAAGAAGGAGGATCAAGTTGGTGATCGTCCTAGCCAATAGGCCCCAATACCGCTTGCGGAAGTTGGTGAGTTTTTTAGGAAATGAGCCAAATAAGGCCCATGTCTCAAGAATGACCTTCAGGAGAAGAATACCGACGGCGATAGCGGCGATGACAATGGCAAATATCAGAAGGACAGTCATGAACGTATTGGCCTGAGGGATGGTGAGCTGCTCAACATAGCCCTGGATACCATGCACGATGTGAGTGACTTTCGAATTGCCAGAGCTTGTGCCATTACCAGCAGCAGCGGCAGCAGTGCCTGACTGAGTGCCATTGATGGTGGTCGATGTATCTCTTGAAAATAGTTGAGGTTCAAAGAGAAAATCGTTTGCGCGTCTCGACACGATTCCTGAGTCTGACGTCGGTCCAGTAGTGTAAACCAAACTGGCATTTTTCAAGTACTGGACATTGTCATCTGTTAGGTTGCCGCCGGTCGCCCGCCTGAAATTGTCAATTGATGTCTGCATCGAGTTCCATGGGATAAGACCCCCAGAAAAGGCAAAGTTTTTGGAGAAGCTTCGATAGATTGGTGGATATTGGGCGCTCAACATTCCGTTCATGGCTATTGATTGAAACCAGCCAACGACGTCTCCAAAATTAGGGCTTGGGGCGTGGCCACCGGCTGTACCTGCACTGCCGATGGCTGAGATGCCGGTGAGTACAAGTGCGGCCCCCGCAACCCCTACCGCGATATAAGAGACTGCAGGAGATTCCACGGTCTTGCCATTGGTCACGTCTGACTCTATGCATGCTAGATCTTGTCCGCCATCAAGCGCCGTCAATTCCAATTTGGCTCCTCCTTCGAGATCAGGGACATTGAAGGCTATCGAGGGTATCTCACTCGCGTAAGACGGAGGAACGTCTTGCACACCCTGAGCTGCGAATGATCCCGCTGGGACTAGAACAGGATATCAGCAAAGGAGAAGTCATGATATGCCTGTCTCAGAAGCTCACCAGGACACAGTTGATCAACTTTGTTGCCTTCGTCACATGGATTGAAGGTTTTTTGGTACACCTGCTTGCCATAGGCAGTGACGTACAAGGCAGCAGTGACATTCTCGACTTTTGAACTGGTACCTGCTACGTCGAAAGTTATCTGCTGAGTGGTGCGGTCATATTGAATATTGAGGACTGTGACTGTAATGTCGGAATCGGCCATGCACGTCGTGAAGCCTGTCGTTGTTAGGACATCGTTGGCTGATACAATCATTGTCAGAGCCGCAAGAAGTGCTATTGCAACCAGCCATTGCGAGGAAAGTTGGGGCGACTTCATCCTCAAAAGGAATTGCGAGAAATATGGCCCAAAAATTTTGTTATATGCAGCGCGAGATGCTCAATAGAAGGCCGTAAGGTTATATATGCGGGAGGATATTAAAGGGTGTTGTATATGGCAAGGGTGACCGGGGAAGTTTGGAGGCGAACTGTTGCTATCACCACTGCAGGGTATGGACTCGCTCGATCCAGATGAGAGTACACACAAAGCACGAAATAACACGGAGGCTTTGGATCAACCAGAGCGTCCCGTTAAATGCAGTTACCAGCAGAAGAAAGGGCGTCGGCGTAGATATTCAGGGGCGAACAAAGAACGAAGTATAGGCTGAAAGAACAATGATAGACAAGACCGAGGACATTCAGAAAGAGTGTGAGGAAAGAGTGTGGAATACGGAAGGACAAGCGCAATCTAGAGTAATGAGTGATGGATGGGAAGAGGAGAATGGAGGAGTCGTAAGCAGAAGAAGACTCGAAACTTCAGCCTGTCTCCTGTCCAACTACTCCTGGGCACTGACGGGTCGGCAAATGCTGACTGGCAGCCAATCAACTTGTACCACCGGCGGGACCTCGGGGAGATGCGACTTTTGTAGTGGATGAAAAAAAAATAAGGGTGAATATTAAATATACGATCATCAACCTAGATTCTATCAGGCTGTGTGTCTACGAGTAGCATATTTAGCAAGTGGTGCCTCGGTCATATCTAACCTATGGCACTCAACAGCTTCCACCGTCTGTAGGACCACCTTTAGCCAATGAGCTTCTTATCAGCTGGCGCATGCAGTCGAAAGATTAGGAGATTATTCCAGTGTGCAGAGAGGTACAAGTCCTTGGCTTGATGACTGCCTTTTTACACTGACATGGGTCCTTTTCCCGGGGTTTGGCATGGCCATGGCCTTCGAGTCCTTCGGACTTTGGTACTCATTTATGAACCCAAAAGGCGACTGCGGCGAATGTACCGAGCAGCAATCGTTTTTGGAATTAGGCATCACTCGCCTTAACGCAGGGAGTCATTTATCGTATTATTCCCATCTCAAAATCTCATCTCTCTCGTCCTGCCTCTTCTCGTTCTCGCATCATATTCCATCCACTGAGCGACTCCCTTTCTGCCATTGAGGGTAAGTGGACCAGGGTTCATGACATGGCAGCCTTCGTATGTGACTGCGAATGGCGGCGCTTCTGGGTCCATTAGCACCAAAGCCGTAGGTAATGGGTACAATTGTAATGCCCCTGCATAATCCCACAGCACAGGACGATCCGAGGGTGGAAATGGTGACAAGTATCCCTGGTCTAGTATGGTTTTCACAATCTTACGTGCTGTTTGTAGGTCCGATGAGACTATTGATTTTGCGAATTCTCTAGTTTTAGAGATCGGGATGTGAGATTCTGCTGTCTCAACCGCAATGTCGACTTCTGTACCCTCGCTCGACTCCTGCCCTTCCTCCATTGTTGTTGCGTCTCCATTCCCCATTTGATCTGGCACAATGTTCGACTCAGGTTGTGTCTTCGCCTGAAGGGGCCGAAATCTCACTGCATTGCGACGAAGTCTGCCAGACATGTCATCACGGAAAAAGACGATTTCTTGCGCGGGTCCAAACAAAGTCAAACGTGTTGGATTTGTAGACCAAACGGCCTCTCCATCCGTCTTCTTGCCTGTCGCTTTTTCTGCCTCACTCCGTGCTGTGGCAAATGCGCGTTTGATCCTGGTAGTGAAAATATCCGGCACACTGTTCCTAGGGAGTGCTGTGGCAGCCCCAGCGGAGAAAGCAGAAGCCCAGGGGTCGTTGTCTCCAGGCACGAATACAAAGGTGGTGTTTTGAAGCATGGTCGGATAGTCTGAAACGGCCGCGGCGAGGGAATCGAAATACTCCTTATATTCGATACTCCCACCACTAGTACCTCCTGTCATAACCGCATTTTGAACGAAGTTGCCCATGAGCACCACGACCATCGGAGTCTGATCGGCTTGCTCCGCGGCGTATGAACCGAGAACTCGTTTCAGCGCCTGCAGTGTTTTCGCACTGTCGAGCACAACCTCGCCGCAGATCACCATTCTTGCCCTGCCCTCCGCTAGATCTTCTGATGAAGCTCTTTTCAGTACGTGTGTTTCCAATCTTCGCATCGCTGAGCCAGCAGCTCTCTCGCTTCCAACACCGAGGAAGTCAACCCAGCCGAAGCCTCCTCCTGCATTCGTATGGCCGTCTTTACCGGCACCGCTGACGCCAACTGTGACCTCACGGCGTTCGCAGGGTGGCCCCCCAACAGAGAAGGCAATGAACTTTCCACCAACAGTACCACCCACTCCACGATTGCCGTCTAGCCCAGGTCCAGTGCTTGAACCTTCTTCCTCATACACTCCGTCCACCAACACTATCATTCCGGGAGTAAACCAAGCGCCATCCTCTGGGACTGGCCTGGCATGTTGGATGTCAACGGCGATACTCCCTGTAAGATCATTTATAGTCAACACGCCGGTAGGAGATATCGTTAACAGTCCGAGCAGGAGGTGACTGCTACCGCTGCGGCCCAGAAGATTGGCAATGGGTGTAATTTTATACGCTTGCTGGGTCGTCGCTATGGTTGACGAAAACCGTTGCAGGGAGCTTGTGCGCGCAGACGCCACTGACGACGATTGAAAAGACTCATTGCGCAGCAACCGCTGATAAATGAGATTGTAACGATGGCGGAAAAGATGGGTCTTGTGTGAGGGATCTGGCAATAACGAAGGCGCAGTCGAGGCTGCTTCGAAGTGCTTTTGGTTGACATTATATGTCAGTCTTGGCTGTTCGAATGCTCCAACGATCTTCAGCCACCGTCTAGGATCTTCGGAGCTGGTGGTACCTCCATCGTCGTCAACGCCCAGAGCAGACATCCCAAGGCGTGCTGCGCTGTCCTCCCTACTCCATGCCCAAGGCCTTGAATTTGAGTCTGTAGTATCTCCGTCAGTTTTTTCGAACGCAAAGCTTCCTTGACGGCTGGGTCCCCCCTGTTGGGAAGGCTTTCCCCCGCTCATAGAGCGCTCCATGTTTCGCAGGATGCTCTTCAACTCGTCTCCCTCGCCTGGTACAATTACACCACCACCATTCTTTTTCCAGCTTTTGGCAGCCTCGTCCAAGACTTTTTCTGCCAGACCTTCCTCCCGCCATCCTGAACCGCAATGCTTGCCTATGAAGGTGGCAAACGCTTGTAGCGCTGACGATGTGAGTGTGAGACTGTGCTTCTTTGTGAATGTGCGGAAAGCCAAAGGTCTTAGAGTAGCTGGTGGTAAAAGTATGGACAATATTGATGGCTTCGATGGCTCTGGAGGTTTGGAGCTTCGGATAGGATGAACGGGCGTGCTGAAGGCTGGCGATGATGAGGGAATGAGACTTGGGTATGCAGCTTTTTGAGTGGCGCGGAATAGAGGTGCTGTGCGAGTCCTTGAAACATGGGTTCCTCTATCCATAGCTTCTGTATTCATCGTTTGTGTGCTGCCCTCTCATGAAAGAAATCGCTGCAATGCGGGGGGCAATGGAGCCCGACGCGTCTCACACCGGACGCGCCCCCCAAAGTGATCGCGGAACAATCCCGCGAGCGAACCTCTCATTCAGTTCACTTTCGGGCCTGATTGACAACAAGATCAAGCAACTAACGCGCCTTGAAGTTAACACTACATTTTAATTCTTCACTCTTTTCCACAACGATAAGTACTTTTAGGCCTCTACCTCTACGTCAGCTCCAGCCAAGCCCGACTTTCACTGTAATTACGTTTTCCACATCTTACCCGGCTTCAGATCGTGCAACTCTTCACCACGGCACCATGGCAGACAACTCAGAAGTCCACTCAGATCTTGCAAGTGTCGATACTGGTGTCGATATGAATGGCGACGGCAAAAGTCAGCTCCGAAATATCACAGCGCAGGCGACCCTTAAGTATTCAGTCAAAGATTACAATGCTGCTGCAGAGCTCTATTCCCAAGCAACCGAGCTACAAGCTGAGATCAACAGCGAACTATCGTCAGAAAACGCCGACCTACTTTATGCGTACGGGCGATGCCTCTATCATGTCGCGGTAAAAAACAGCGACGTGTTGGGCTCCAAGGTTGGCGGTGAGAGACGCGAAGAGGGCCACAAGACGCCGGGCAGCAAGAAGCAGAAAAGGCAAGAAGCGATCGACGAAGCCGATGGGCAGCAAAAGAGGATCGCCGAAGAGGTCGTGACAAAGGTTGTTGAAAAAAAAGATGCCTCGATTCAGCCAGGCGAAGAAGCAGAGAGAAGCAAACCATACTTCCAGTTCACAGGCGACGAAAACTTTGATATAGCGGATGAGGAGGAGGAAGAAGTTGCAGAAGCAGACGCAGATGACGCCGAAGACGCTGACGAGGAAGATGACTTCGTCAATGCCTATGAGGTACTCGATCTAGCGCGCGTGCTGTTGTTAAAAAAGCTCGAGGAAATTGAGAACAGCAGTGGCAAAGGAAATGAGAAAGGCGAGTTGCAACGAGTCCAGCAGCTCAAGGAACGTCTCGCAGATACCTACGACCTCCAAGCTGAGATATCACTTGAAGGAGAAAGATTCCCCAATGCGGTCGTGGACCTCAAATCTGCGCTGGAACTGAAAAAGGGACTCTTCCCACAAGAATCAAGCCTTGTAGCAGAGGCCCATTTCAAGCTATCTTTGGCTCTAGAATTTTCGTCTGTAACGCAGCAGAAAAACGAAAACGGAGAAGTGGAATCAAACACTGACGCACATGTTGATGAATCAATGAGAGAGGAAGCAGCTCAAGAGATGGAGGAAGCCATTGCCAGTTGTCGGCTGAGGATCGAGAAAGAGGAAGCGATGCTTTTTGATCCACCCGAAGCTGGTGAAGATTTTGGAAATCCTAAAGTCACGAAGGGAGACATCTCTGACGTGAAAGAAATGATCGAGGAGATGGAACAGCGGGTGAGTGACACGGTTAGATTCGATTGTAAAAGATTCCATGCTCACATCGTCTATTTTAGCTCGTCGAACTTCGCCAACCCCCCGTATCTATCAACGATCCAACCGGTATGGGAACGATTGATGGCTCAAATCCCCTCAGCGGCATTCTAGGATCCATCCTCGGCGAGTCTCCAGCAGCTCAGAAGGCGAGGTTAGAGGAGGCGTCGAAAGGTGCAAAAGACTTGACTAACCTTATCAAGCGGAAGAAGCCAGCGGAAAGCGAAGCGTCCAAGGCTTCTGAATCTCGTAGCATTCAGAGCAATGGTAAGAGGAAGGTTGATTTCAGAGACGAACTCGAAGAGGTGAGCATTGGAAAGAAAGCGAAGATCTCCGGCGACGCCGAGGATTGAGGGTCCAAGTCTTTGAACTTCACGAGAGGTTTTCCCCCGTCCAAGGCGGATAGGAGGATAGGCCGTCCGCGATGATCTTGCCTTCACTTGCGAGATACCATTGTCGTGGCTGTACATAGCATAGTCTTCATGGGGTGAGAGTTAAGTGGGGAGACAAGTTACCCACATACCAATGTACAGCATCATTATAGCATTCTTACAAGTCATTTGTTAAAAAGGTATTGAAACTTAGAGGGGTATTGTAATATCGAATCGTCAGCGCCAACTCCTATAGCCCAAATCAAGACTAGCCAGCCGGTCCATCGTCCACTCCAAACTCCATACTCCACTGATGGATCTGAATTTCGTAAAGGTCGTCAATCAATCGTTATCTTCCATCTTGAAGGTCAGCGCTGCCTTGAGTCCATCTCGGTTGAGCCCCCAGCCATTAGCTTTCTGAACGACTTCCCCTGCCTTCTCTTCACTGCCAACGACGGACTCCACACGCCCGCAAAAAGATCCTCGCACTCGTCCTCATCTTGACTGTCAAAGTCGACTGCATCCTGGGAGCTAGCATCAATCCCCTCGTGTCGCAAGCTCGTGGGAGGCAGCTCCAGCTCATCGTTCTCCCAATTCGAGGAGGAGCATATCATCTTCGTCTCGAGGATGTATTTCCCGACTTTGTACCTCTGCGACTCTTCCTCCGCTCCATCGTACTTCCAACCTAGCATAGAGTTGCAAAAAGCGCACCGCACATCGCTGACCGTGTGCACTCCTGTAACGAGCTGCCGTGATGAAGGGGCGTCGGTCTTTGTGTTTTGCAAGCACAGATCAATCGCAGCTTTGGAGACCTGGCTGGATCCTGACAGCGCCAGGGAGGGAGAAACTAGATAGGCTCTTCCGTGACGGCCGGTGAACCCTTTGCTGATGATTTGGGAGGTCAGGCAGACGTCAGTTGAGCATTTGGCGCAGCGAATGTGAGAGGTATGGCCATTCAGATAGTTGCCGACAAACCCGCTGGCAAGATCTGTCGATTGAGTTGAGTCCGTAGAGCTAGTCGAGTCTGTGCTCTCTTTGCGCCGGCGGAAAGGGATAGAGGGAAGGAGATAGATTGGGAAAAGTGACATTGGAGAGGAACGAGTAAACATCTTGAATTTGAGGCTTCCAGAAACGGCTCGTGAGGTATGAGCTTGCGTCTTTTGAAGGTGATGAGGAGAGATTAGGTCAGGCGCAAAATGAATACTAGCGGTCAAAAAACCTCATGTGTCATCCGCGTGATCAACTTGACAGCCATAGTGATAAAGTTACAGACTGCTCAAGAGATAGAAGGAGCAATGCGAGAAGTGGATGTAGAGTTGGGGTTACATCATAGCCATCGATTATCACATGGGACTAGTGGAGCTCTTATTTGGACGCCAGTTTTAGCAACATAAACAATACCCCTATATTCTTGAAACTACAGAGGTCTGCACCGAAAGTCCTACATATACGCTAAAACTCTTGGCATTCTTGATAAATATTCTTAAAATCTTAAATATTAATACTTTACATACGGAGGTGACACCAAAAGTCCTGCACATGCCTAAATCTCTTGGCATACTTGGCAAATATTCTGAATATTTTGAATATTCTTAATATCACTGCTTTTTACTTAACAGCGACGTCAATACTATACATACGAGGTATATATATACGGAGTGCATATATAAAGCATCATCACTAGAAAAATAAAGCTATCCAAGAAAAAGGTCAGATTTATCAAAATGCCAAGCATGCCAAGAGATTTAGCGTATGTGTAGGACTTTTAATATCACCCTCCGTAGTGTGTGTGTGTGTGTAGTTCCTACATCGGAGGGCCGTGCCTCTATTCGTACCCCTTCCCATTGAAAGGCGTAGCCCAGAGTGCAACCGTTTTTACCCACTCGGCCTTACGACCATATCCGACATCCGTACCCCATTTAAGGTATGGCAGATATATGTCAGATAATCGTAATCCCGTAGAATTACGGCTATATATATTATATTAGAAATTCTAAAGCCTTTATTATAACTTTGCACGATTAACTTTTAAATGATAAGCTTTAGACAGTATATTACACTCTATAATATACTTTAAAGCTTTTTCCTTATTTCTTCGGGCCGAGCTCTAGCCTCTCTATTCTATATACTCTTAAATACTTAATACTCTATTATATATCGTTACGTAAGAGAGAGAATAATAATATTTATTAAATCGAAGTTAAGAATACTCGAATTAAGCTCTTCTTCGATTCTTATAAAGATATAAGATCTAATTAAGTTTATTCGTATATCGATAACTAGCTAAGAGATATATAACTATTACTTATTACTTACTAACTTCGCTATTAAGAGAATATTCTCTAAATATATTAGATTTAACTCTCTTATCTAATCTCTTTTCTATAGAAAATCTTTATATAATTCTTATAAATAAGCTCGATTTATCTATAATCGAAGTCGAATATTTATAATATTTAGAAAAAAGTTATTAATTAGCGAGAGAGAGAGATATTATTTAATTAAGAGAGATAGAGCTCGTCGTTATATTAATAATATTAAATTCTTTAAGAAAAACGCGTTAACCCTCGATCTAACGCGTTTTATTATTCGATTTTCGCTTATACGTAATTAATCGTTATCGTAATTAAAGAATTTAATTATATACTTATATATAAATATACGCTCTCTTAAGATCTCTTAACTTCTCTAACGTATCGAATTATAAGTTTACGTCTATTATAGCTAATAAGTTAGGATTTAATTAACGCGTAGTAGCTACTAAATAGATATAGAGTAGACTCTCGAAGATATAGAAATCTTTATTAGAGAGTTTATAGTCGATATTACGTATAGATAAATCTCGTTATTAGGTCTACTCTTCGTAATAGCGATATTAATACTTATTATATATAATATATAATAGCGATATTATTATATATATATAAGATATATAATTATAATATTATTATATATATTACGAGTAAAGACCTATAAATTAAATTCATATCATTTTTTTTTAATCGAGGCTATCGAGTAAATTTTGATAAGCGTCTTTAATAAGCGATCTTTAATAAGCGATCTTTGATAAGCGATATCTGAATTCCTCGCTTTTAAATATCTATAAGACTAAATTTAGAAATTCTTTTTTTATCTAAAAGTCTATATTACGTTCTATAATTTAAATAAAAAAACAATTTAATTTTAATAGAAAATAAAAAAGTTATTCTAAAATTAAATAATATACATCTATTTTTTAATTAGAGCTGTCGAGCGAACTTTGATAAGCGAACTTTAATAAGCGATATTTAAATTCCTTACGCTTTAATAATTATAAGATCGAATTTCGATATTGTTTTTTTATTAAAAAGCGCAAGTTTCGAGCTATAATTTAGAAAAAAAAATTAAAATTATAATAGAAAATAATAAAGTTATTAAAAGGTTAAAAGTAGAAGAAGAGATTTTTAATAATTACGAACGCTAATTTATTTACCCGCGATATTTAATTAAAAAGCGTAGATCTAACGAATTAATAATTAACTATATATATAAATTTAAGATTTTCTAATTTAGCTCTATCTTATTCTTTTATATATATTAATATTATATATATATTAATATATATAATAGAATAAGATAAAGTTAAACTTAAAAATCTTAAATTTATATATATAGTTAATTATAAATTTAAGTTCGCTATACTCTTTAATTAGATTAATTAAATTATTATAAATAAATAAATTAATATTCGTAATTATTAAAATCTCTCTCTTTTATATCTCTTTTATTAAAAATAAATATATATTATTAATATATAAAATAACTTTTTTATTTTCTATTAAATTTTAAAGATTTTTTTTTAAATTATAGAACGAAATATAGGCTTTTAGATAAAAAAAGAATTTCTAAATTTAATCTTATATTTATTAAAGCGTAAGAAATTTAAATATCGCTTATTAAAGTTTACTCGATTATAAGAGTAAAAATACTCGAAGCGAATTAATAGACTTATTTACGTCGCTTATTAGATTATAAGCTATATAACTAAAGCGAGTATTTAATATATTTAATAAAGTCTTAAATACTTATAAATTTTCTTTTTTTTTTTTTTTTAGTTATTAGTTTATTTAATAATTAATCTATTTATTCTATTAACTATATATCTAGATCTTATAATTATATAACTATTATATAGTTTTATTAAAAGAGATCTTACTATTTTATAATTTTAATAATTTTATTTATATAAAGCTATTTAGTTTAGCTATAATAAATAACTCGCGAGTTAATTTTATTAATTTATAAAGTAGAAATATCTTATTATAATTTACTAGCGATGTTTTTAATCTAGTAAGCGACTTTTATTAAAATATATCTATTATATAATTAAGCGATTATAATACTAATTCTAATATCGATAGAAATTTTAATAATACTATCGACGGAAATAATAATCGCCGAAGCGTTATATCTAATAATTCTTTATTTATAAATAAAGATTCTCGTCTTATAGATTTAACTTAAATTTAATACTATTAATTTTTAAAGCTTAATATTAAGAAGTAATTAGTTATTAAAAAAATTAAGCTAATTAAAATATAGAATATATAAAAATATTATCGCGAGTATAGCGATAATTATTATTATAATTCGAGTTATAAGAAGATAAGTATTATTAAAATATTTAATATATAATATCTTAATAACTATAGCTCGATAGTTATATTTCTTTAAAATTACGATAATTTTATTATCTCGATATCTTATATCGATTTTCATATAAATAAAGAAAAGACTTATTAGACTTCTATTCTCTTAATAAATATTAAAAAGTAAATTTAGAGAAATATTAGAAATACGATATTATATAATATTAGAAAATTTATTTAAAAGAAATATAAGAGATAATATTTAAATTAAGTTTATAATTTAGTCGTTAAATTTTATAATATAGATCGCTAGTTAATTAAAGTAATTATAAGAGATATATAGTCGATAGCTAGCTTTAATAATTATTTTATTATATTTTAATTATAGCGAGATCGCTATATAATCGATTTAAAATATATAAAAGATTTATAAGATAGAGTAATAGAGAAAATTCCTTTAAAAGCTATAAAGGAGGTTATTTAATCTATTATTTATATTATATTACTATAATAATATTAGAATATTAAATAAAGATTATAAAAAAAAGAGAGCTTTTTATTTTAAATAAGACTCGCTTTAATAATAAGATAAGTAATTAAAAAGTTAAAGCAAGCTCGAAATTAATCAAATATCACTAAAATAATCAAATTTCGAGCTTGCTTTAACAGCCCCTCGATAGAAGCTCTCGAAGAGCCCTTAAAGAGCCTCCGAAGGGTCCGAGGGGTTTTAGAGAATCTCTCTAAGAATCAAAAATAGTTAAAAACCAGTACTTGACAAGCTTTTCACTACTGAGAAGAACACGCCCTAGTATATATTAACTATAGCTCGATAATTATATTTTTTTAAGATTATAATAATTTTATCGCTTTAATACTTTATATCGATTTTTCTAAAATAAAGAAAAGACTTATTAGGCTTTTCTTCTTTTAATAAATATTAAGAAGTAGATTTAGAAAAATATTAAGAATACGCTATTACACGATATTAAGAGTTTTATCTAAATAAAATATTAAGAATAATATTTAAATTAAGTTTATAATCTAATTATTAACTCTTATAATATAAATTACTAGTTAATTAAAGTAATAATAAGAGATATATAATTAATAATTAGTTTTAATAATTATCTTATTATATAATTAATTTAAAATTTAAAATATATAAAAGCTCTATAAAAAAAAGTAATAGAGAAAATTTCTCTAAAAGCTATAAAGAAGGCTATTTAATCTATTATCTATATTATATTATTATAATAAGATTAAAAAATAGAGTAAAAATTATAAAAAATAAAAGAGCTTTTTACTTTAAATAAAAATCGCTTTAATAATAGCGACGTTCGCCTCGGTTATATCGAAATTTTATCTATCTCTTTATTCGTTAAACGAGTAGCCTCTTGAAATAGCTTCTATAATAAAATAAATAATTAAAGAAATAGTAGTTAATAGTATACGAAGTTTAAGAAATAATATATAAAGAATTA